TGTACGCCTTCCCACCGCTGCCTTTAATACCGGCGACCATACGCAAGATGATCCTGGAGGGCGCAGAGATGGTCTGCATTGCCCCTCACTGGCCACGGCGCCCGTGGTTTGCCGACCTCGTGGACCTTTCGATATCACCTCCGTGGAGGATTCCCCCGGACAGGGTAAAACTCAGTCAGGGCAAGCTTGTACACCCAGATCCCCAGTGGCTACATCTAGCCGCTTGGCATTTGAGCGGCAAAGCTTAACTAAACAATCTTATTCGGCAGGGGTGATATCGATCATACAGGCATCACGAAGAGCGTCCACTAATAGGATTTACGACGCTACATGGAAGGGATTTTGTAGGTGGTGCGCTTCGCTTCACCTAGACCCGACCACAGTATCTATCCCTAATATCCTAGATTACCTATTGGAGGGTCTTAATAAGGGCCTGTCAGTCAATACCATCCGCAGACAGATATCGGCCCTCTCAACTGTACTCTCCTGCGACAACTTAACTTCTCTAGCACAACATCCAGCGATTAGTGCTTTCTTAAAAGGGGCATCTAACACAAAGCCCCCAGTCATACACAGGTACCCGTCCTGGAACCTGCCTAAGGTCCTTCTAGCCTTGACATCAGCACCCTTCGAGCCTCTTGAAACATGCTCACTCCATCACCTATCACTGAAGGTATCTTTCCTTGTGGCAATCACTTCAGCAAGGAGAATCTCAGAACTTGCAGCACTGTCAGTAAGGAAGGATCTGTGTACCTTCTTCAAAGACAGGGTTGTTCTTAGACCAGACCCGACCTTCATTCCGAAGGTAAATAGCATCTTTCACAGGTCTCAGGAACTTACGCTTCCTGATTTCTGTCCAAGACCCAAACATAGGCTAGAACACAGATGGCACAAGCTAGACGTGCGGAGAGCGCTGTGTTTCTACGTGAAACGCACCTCGGCTTTCCGAAAGACTGAAGCATTATTTGTGTCCTTTCAACCAGCAACTATGGGAAAGAAGGTATCTCCTTCCACCATAGGCAGGTGGATCAGAGCCTGCATAGCACAGGCATACGTCTCACAGGATTTGCCAGCACCCACTCAGGTGACTGCCCACTCAACTCGGAGCGCAGCCACATCTGCGGCGTGGCTAACACAAGCTCCGGTGGAAGAGATTTGCAGGGCCGCAACCTGGTCCTCACCTTCGGTTTTCATTCGACATTACCGTTTAGATTCCCTAGCAGCAGCAGACGCGGCTTTTGGCAGAAGAGTTCTTCAACAAGTCGTATCTGCTCAGAGTTCGGTAGCCTAGACATTCCCTCCCAGGGGGACATGAGGGCTTTGGTATGTCCCATCCATTTGGACTCTACAGCCATCCTGCTGGAGAAGGGGCGTTGTCTTACCTGAACGCCTTTTCTCAGCAGGATGATGTAGAGTCCAAGCCCACCCAGAGGATAGGTCTAGGCAGGGAGAGAATAACGATATAATAAAGAGCTGCAATGTTAATTCCAACAAAGTTTCTCGCCTAAGTTAAAACTGGGGTCACGCCCAAAGGAAGGGGTGTGGCCGAAGTTTTTACCCAGTCTGCCAGGCAGGAAGGCCGTCATAGAACCCATCCATTTGGACTCTACATCATCCTGCTGAGAAAAGGCGTTCAGGTAAGACAACGCCCCTTTTGGAGTTCTTTTTCTCAATGTGTTGCCAATTGCATTGTGCCCTGCCCCCCTCAGCTCCCACCCCCCCAGCCCCGTGGCAGGCTGCAAGAAGCATTCCTCTCCCGCTCTTTTCCTCCCCATGTCAAAGCGTGGGGCGTGCACACACACACACACACACACACACACACACACACACACACAAACACGTGTGCAGGTTCTGGGAGAGGTGAGCTGAGAGCCATGGAGCAGGAGGAAACGATAGGGGAAGTGGTCAAAATGGGAAACTTCTGTCTGGAGCCTCTGGCAGCTTAAAAAAAAACACGTGTGGAGCAGTGGCTTCCTTTCAGTCCATCCTCCCCTCCGTTGCTTCCACGCCGGGATTGACTCTACGCCTGTCAGTTTTGCTTTCACCCCCCCCCCCATTCCAGAAACTGAAAACTGCTGCCATTCACTTGCTGTGTCCCCCTGACAGCCCCTGCAAACTCCTATTGCATGCTGGCATGCAGAATCCCAAAGCTCCCATTCTGTTTCCTCCATGCTCAGGAAGGAAGCTGTCGGCCGTGGCTCTCCCACTCGGGGGTGGGGCAGTCCCAGTGAAAGCGTGACGGGCGAGGCTGGGAGGGGTGGGGTGAGGCCGGGTGAGGCGAGGTGAGGCAAGGTGAGGCAAATGAGCTACAGCTGCTCCTGCGCACCACCAGCCTCCGAGCGCTCACCATTTCCTGTGTGTGCGCCGGGAGATCGCCCAGCCAGGTTGGGGTGGGCTAGGGCTGGGGCAGCAGGGGCCGATTCCTTGCCATTTCTGTGAACAGCTCCAGGGGCCAAATTTGGGCCCTTGGCGGGCCGTATTCAGCCTGCGGGCCTTATGTTTGACATGTCTGTTTTAAATTATGAAATGCTACAATTTGTGTTTGCCCTTCCAGGAGGTATAAACTGTTTCAAAAGCTTTAATACAGTGGTTCTCAACCTGTGGGTCGCGACCCTTTGGGGGGGTCGCACGAGCCTTTCACAGGGATCGCCTAAGACCATCGGAAAACACATATTTCCGATGGTCTTAGGCAGGGCTTGTCAACCGCCTTCTCTCCCTTCCCCCCTCTGCTCCACCTCGCTTGTTTCTAGAAAATATGCTGCTTGGCGGCAGTCTGCACGAACTCTACCAAATGTGCCCTGCAGGGGGCGCATGAAGAGTGCAGGCGCAAAGCAAGGCCCCGTCCTCCCCAGAGACTCATTGTGCAGCAACCGGATTGACTTCTTCTCGTGTACGCAGGCCAGCTAAGGGGAGGCCACGCAGCAACCAACTCCTGCGCCCGTCAGCTGGCAACCCCCGAACTTGCACTTGTCAGCCGGGAGGTCTGGCGATGGCTGCAGGTCTCCTTTGCCACCTGCCCGTCCTCGACTCTTCCTCCGCCCGTTCATGTTGAGCCCACCGGGGCTTGACAGGGAGAGAGGGAGGGAAGGAGGAAGGGACTCCTCCTCCTCTCCTAAGCTTTGATCGGGTTCCCAAGGGCGCCACAATCCTCATGAAAGTGGGGGGGGGAGAAGCAAAGGGGGTGAGAAAGCTCGCAGCAGGCTCGAAGCAGCACCTGTCAGCATTGGTGATGAGAAATTCCCCACAAACCCAGGGGAGGGGTGGAGAAAAGGAGCCCCCCTTGGGAGGAAACTGCCACCTTCTTCTCCTTGGCTTTGCGCTCTTCTGTTTCTCGGCAGCCGGGCTGGCAAGCCTCTCCTGGCTGGAACTTCCTTTCTTTCCCTCCCTCTTGGTCTCTTCCTCCTTCCCTCCCTCTTCCATTGTCCCTTCCTTCCTTCTTTTCCTTCACCTCCCTCTTTGTCCCTCCTTCCCTCGCTCTTTCCCCTTGTCCCTTCCGTCCTTCGTTCCTTCCCTCTTGTTCAGGATTGGGGCGAGCCTCTACAGCTGATCTACGCTTCTGCAGCTGTAGCCGCTCTCCTTGGCTCCTGCCCAGCAAACTTGCTGGAGCTTTGATAGAAAACAAGCCACTTGCTAATTTAGCAGAAGCACAAATCAGCTGTAGCCCGGCGCTGATCTGCTAACTTAGCAAGCGGCACATCTTTCGGCGAAGCTGAGCAAGTGAAGCTGGGCAGAGCTTTCCTGTCTCTACCTGTGCAGAGGCAGGTTTGCCGGCAGCAAAGCCCCCAGCCATGCTGGCAGCCTATCCCCCTCCCCTTGTCCCTTCCTGGGCATGGGGGGGGGGGGAGGAAGAAAGGAACGAAGAGGGATGGAAGTAAGGAAGAATGAGAGAGGGAAGGAAGGAAGGAACAATGGAAGGGAGGGAGGAAGGAAGGAAGGAAGGAAGGAAGGAAGGAAGGAAGGAAGGAAGGAAGGAAGGAAGGGACAAGGGGAGAGAGGGAGGGAAGGAGGAAGAGACTAAGCAGGAGGTGAAGGAAAGGAAGGAAAGAAGGAAGGAAGGAAGGGACAATGGGAGAGGGAGGGAAGGAGGAAGAGACTAAGGGAGAGGAAGAGACTAAGGGAGAGGAAGGAAAGGAAAGGAAGGAAGGGACAGTGGGAGAGAGGGAGGGAAGGAGGAAGAGACTAAGGGAGGGGAAGGAAAGGAAGGAAGGAAGGAAGGGACAACGGGAGAGAGGGAGGGAAGGAGGAAGAGACTAAGGGAGGGAAGGGGAAGGAAAGGAAGGAAGGAAGGAAGGAAGGAAGGAAGGAAGGAAGGAAGGAAGGAAGGAAGGAAGGGACAATGGGAGAGGGTGGGAAGGAGGAAGAGACTAAGATGAAGGAAAGAAAGGAAAGAAGGGACAATGGGAGAGAGGGAGGGAAGGAGGAAGAGACTAAGGGAGGTGAAGGAAAGGAAGAAAAGAAGGAAGGAAGGGACAAGGGGAGGGAAGGAAGGCAGGCACCCACCCCAGTCCCATCCCAGAGACCCACAGATTCCCCCCCACAGGCACTCTGCAACCTGAGTGATCAGCTGGCCACGCTCCCTGGCCATTGATCACGTGACCCTGGAACACTGTGAATGTCATAAGTATGATGGAACACTGTGAATGTCATAAGTATGAATCAGTTGTCAAGCATCTGAGTATAAATCACATGACCCTGCAACAATCATAAGTGTGAAAAATGATCATAATTCGCTTTTTCAGTGCTGTTGTAACTTCTAACAGTTACTAGCGAATTGTTATAAGTCGAGGACTACCTATACTTTCCCATTTTTTCCTCTTTTTTTTGTCAAGTTTTTGATACCCCCCCCCCCCGGCCAGCTGGATGGGGGGTTGGGGGTCACCACGAGATGAGGAGCTATATTAAAGGGTCGCGGCATTAGGAAGGTTGAGAATCACTGCTTCAATAGGTCTAGTGACCACCACGACTTTTAATTTTTTTTTTATTTTACCTATGATTAACAGGTCTTTCTGGTGCCGGTAAGACAACTATTGGGTTTGCCCTTGAGGAATATCTTGTGTTATATGGCATCCCTTGCTACTCTCTTGATGGTGACAACATTCGTCATGGTCTCAACAAGAATCTAGGTTTCTCTGCTGATGACCGAGAAGAAAACATCCGCCGTATTGCTGAAGTTGCCAAACTATTTGCAGATGCTGGCTTAGTTTGCATTACTAGTTTCATTTCTCCTTTTGCAAAGGTAACCCTGCATGGAAAGTTATTCTGTCCTTTAAAAAAAAATACTTTTTTATTCCGTCTCCTTGTACAACTTTTTCTCTTTGGAAATGTAATATCCTTATGCATGCTTCTTTCTAATATCTTCAAATCCAGCTTTCTCCAGTAGGAAACTTTCCTGAAATACTGAACTTCATCTTTCATTAGCTTGACATTAGTCAATAAATCAAAATTTTACTTGTGGGAATTTGATGCTGTTTTACGGTCCTTCTGCTCAGTACTGATATTTCTTTCTCTCTAGCTCAAGCCAGTTTTTAAAAAATGCATTAGTAGAATTGGAATGTTTGTGCAAAAAGAAGATTCTAAGCCCTGTAACCCGACCTTTATCTATATGGCCAATAAACATGGGTAAAACTGTGTATATGTGTGAGAGACACAGAGAAAAACCAGAACATCTTGAGCGTCCTGTTGCATATTTCTTTCTGTGTTTATTTAGATATCTTCATGTCTGCACAGCAGATGTAAGAAGAAGAAGAAGAGTAGTAAAATACTTACATTACTGATTGTTACTTTGCTGCTTTTTACAGGACCGTGAGAATGCACGGAAGATTCATGAGACAGCTGGGCTTCCTTTCTTTGAGGTTTTTGTGGATGCACCTCTCAATATCTGTGAAAGTAGGGATGTGAAAGGCCTGTACAAAAAAGCACGAGCTGGAGAAATCAAAGGTTTGATCATTTTACCCTGGCTGTAGGATGTACTGTCTACATAATCTCCCTTCTTTACATTCCTGCTCCTAAATACAAGCTTTTATCTGCAAATGTCCTAGTGCACGGGTCGGCAAGCCGCAGCTCCAGAGACGCATTTGGCTCTTTGAGCTTTCTCCTGCAGCTCCCAGCCTCCTCTGCCATTTACAGACAGAGAGAGGCACTTGTGTTTCCCTTCTCTCTTGCTCGCTCTCTCTCTCTCTCTCTCTCTCACACACACACACACACACACACACACACACTGAGTGGGGGAAGAGGACTGGCAGACCAAGGGCAGGAGAGACCCAGCCCAATAAGAATGTGTGTCAGCTTGTTGTGAAGCCAGCTTGCCAGGTGAGCAGAAGATCGGAGAGAGGGAGAGAAAGGGAGGGAGGGAGGGGGAGGGAGAAAAAGAGAAGGAGAGAGAGAGAGAGAGAGAGAGAGAGAGAACGAGAACGAACTCATGGACAGCAGCCTCTATTCCTTTTTAATTAAACTCTTAACCAAGCTCCCCCCACTCTCACGCGTGCAAGTTTTGCGGCTCCCAGTGTTTTCTTTTCTCTGGGAACGAGTCCAAGTGGCTCTTTGCGTGTTTAAGATTGCCGACCCCTGTCCTAGTGCATCAAAACTTTGTGAACTCTTGTATTTGTCATGTCATTTGACTTGAATGACAGGGTTGGGTAATAGCTATGTAGTTGAACAAGTCTGTGATTCGGGTGACAAGTGAGGCTCCAACAGGTAGCTGTAAATCCATATTAGCTAGGAAAAAAATTATGGGGAAATACCTGATGAGATTTTGAAAACAGTTGATACTGAAGACACAAAAGCCATTGCTCTTATGGATGTCCTATTTGATCTTTGATTTGAAGTCTGAACATAATCTTATTGTCTTACGCATATGAATATCCAACTATTCTAGGATTCACTGGAATTGATTCGGAGTATGATAAACCAGAAACACCTGAACTTGTGCTGAAAACCAACATTTTTTCAGTGACTGAATGCATCCAGGCTATTGTGGAACTCTTGCAAGAACAGGTATCATCATGTCCTGGTTTTCAATAACAAACCCTAATCTAGCACCTTCACTTTTTCCAGGTTTGTGCTAACCAATCCATGTTTCTCAAGAGGACTTTATCTTTTTATTCCTCTACTAGAGCATTGTTCCTTCCACTGCAATTAAAGATGTGCTTGAGCTGTTTGTACCTGAAAATAAAGTGGAACAAACTTGGGCTAAAGCTGGTACTTTGCCATCTATAAACATTACCAAGGTAAGAAAAAAGTACAGTGATTCTGATATAGGAAAACCATCTGCTTAACTGTCTAAACGGCAAGAAAAACCTTGTCCTGGGCGTTCTTAAGTTTAAGCAAACCAGTCTGCCATATTTGCCACCTTCAGAGTACTAAGGATGAGCAGAGTAAGGAAAAATTACTGTTTTGTTGGCCTTTTCTAGTAGGGAATCAGCTTTCTGTTTCAAATTTCATTTTTTTTAAAACACTTTTTCCATTTTAAAAATTCAGTTAAAATGGTCTTAATGATGGAAGAAAGGGCTGACGTCTGATTTTCGGGTCAAAGCAATGGTAACATGAGGATAAAAGACATTGTTAGAAGAAAATAAATATACAAGGTTTGTTTCCCTGTGCACAACTTAAAAGTGAAGTGTATCTTTGTAAGTGAGAAATATCTATACACATATGCATAGTATATTTAAGAGAAAGATATTCTTTGGTCCTGCTGGCCTTCAAATCACTATGGATCTACTGGAAATAAAATGCCAAGGTTTTGCAGAATTTTTTTATAACTTTTGTCAGGCTCTTGACAGCTGCTTCAAACAAAGAGAATGAATTTTTCTAAGCAAAATTCTCATTGTGTTACTGAGATTAAAAGCAGAAAACTATTTATTTATTTATATATATCCTGTCTTTATTATTATTACAAATTACTTGAGGTGGCAAAGATATATAATACTTCTTCCTTCTATTTTTCTCACAACAGTTACCCTGTGAGGTGAGTTGGGCTGAGAGAGAGTAACTGTCCCAAGGTTACTTGGGTAGCTTTCATGACTAAGGCAGGTCTAGAACTCAACAATTTCCTGGTTTCTAGGCTAGCTTGGTTTCTAGGCTAACCAAATAAGGATTTCAGCAACTAAACCAGTACAGTAATGCCCCAATACATTAAGTCTGAGTCTTCAAATATTTTCCTGTGAATAAGGAATAACTTTCAGAAGTGGTAGGTACATTATATCCATGTTCTTTTTGGAAAGAAATACTGTTGATTTTATCTAAGTCAGCAGCCTCCAACCTTTTGGGCACTGGTTCCGTAGAGAGAGGTTTTTCCGTGGACCTGAGGGTGTGTGGTTTCACATGCTGCCTGCATTCTGCAGATGGGGCTTTTCTTGTTTGCGCGGCCCGGTTTCTGGCACACTGCTGCCTGGTGCGGGTCCATGGCCTGAGGGTTGGGGACTCCCGATCTAAGTGATCCTAATTGGGAATAGTCTGATAGCTAATTAGAACATTATTTTCAAACTGTTGTACTGAAATGCTGAAAACAGTTACTCCTTATTTTTATGTGCAGATGCCATATGCTATACTCTCTTTATTTTCCAGTTGGATCTACAGTGGGTTCAAGTCCTAAGTGAAGGTTGGGCCACTCCACTGAAAGGGTTTATGCGGGAGAAAGAATATTTGCAAGTTATCCATTTTGGCACTTTGCTTAATGGTATGATATACTAATTCATATATGTTAGACATTCTTTTTGGAAAATTATTTGAAAGAACCAAATTCTCATTAAGAATATTCTTTGATTAGTGTGTAATGAAATTAGTACCTTTTTTCTTTTGAGGCCAGTACAGGTAGTCCTCGACTTAATGATCACAATTGAGGCCAAAAATTATGTTGTTAAGTGAGACATCTGTTAAATGAGTTTTGCCCCATTTTACAGTCTTTCTTGCCACAGTTGTTAAGTGAATCACTGGAGTTGATAAGTTAGTAATAGTTGTTAAATTAATCTGGCTTCCCCATTTATTTTGCTTGTTGAAAGCAAAAGGTGCCCCAAGGTTCATACTTATGACCTTGGGGCACAGCAACGGTCATAAGTATGAACCAGCTACCAAGCATCTGAATTCTGATCCCATGACCATGGGGCTGCTGCAAAGGTCATGTAAAAAATGGACATAAGTCACTTTTTCAGTGCCTTTGTAATTTTGAATGGTCACTAAATGAACTGTTATAAGTCGAGGACTTCCTGTAATCATAATAAACTAGAGAAATATGCTGATTGTAGACAGGTAAATTGCCAGATGAGATCAAGTCAAATACTAGATCATGTGCACGCCAAAGTCAATAAATCCTGGATTCACTCTGGTCCTAAAGGCCACAGAGTAATTTTATTGGCTACAGGGCTATTTAGATTCAGATTGCTCCTTTTGTGTGAATCTCCTTGAATGATCTTGGACTGCTTAGTTTGCATAATCAACAGTTGTCAGAAACTAATAAAGCAGTAAAAATAGTTTTAAACAGAGCTTTGAAAACAGTTTAATAGGCATGTGAAATATTTTACTGAACAAGCACATTGTTGGAGCTTTGTTTCCCACTATCATGTTTCTCCTGTCTACCATAGGTGAAAATGGAATGATACGCCAATATAAGGACCAGAGACTTCTTATACCATCTTTAATTCTGTGAAAATTGGCATCTACTCTAAGTCAGATCTTGACTACATCCTAGTTTGGTAGGATGTAGGTAAGATCCAATTTTAGAAAGCCGAGAAGATGCATAATGTTTCAACTTTACTTGTCTTTCAATGGTTCTTAGGGAAATTAAATGAAAAACCCCAGAGGCCTCATTCAAGTGTAGAATATGCAGCCCATATTCTCATATGCATGAGACAACATTAATACACATGAGCCCATCTACCTGTGGATCCATCTTTCTAGATTGGTCCTCATCATGCAATCATGGTAGAAAACCATGTTTAGAATTTAAGTGTCATCTTGATATTTTGGAAGGTATTTATGATTGAGAAGGAAAACAATTAAAATATGGTTATTAATTATATTTATATTTTGCCAGGAGTGGGTAAAATTGATATATTCAAGCTTGGTATGTATTCAGTTGTTTTTGCTATGTTATGAAAATAATTTGAAAAGATTAATTGGCAGATTGTGCATCTTGCTGAAATGAAATTTTGATATAGAAGTCCAGAATCATAATGAGTATTCTTATGATCCAACCAGTTACACTGTGCTTTCCCAACATTTAATCGACTTGAAAAGGGCAACTCTTAATTAGTTTCATACCTGATTGAAGATCATGGCAAAATGCTTCTTAACTTTGATGGATCTGTGTGTACACTCAATATTATGTACTGTATTCTCTTTCTTCTCCTGCTTCTTTCCCTCTTCTTTAATAGATTGGATACACACAACTTCTCAACCACCAACCCAAAGGAGCTTACCAGCTATAGCCTGTGTTCAATCACAGTTGGCCAATAAAGAATAGTCTAGTCTAGTCTAGTCTAGTCCTATTTCTGTTTCTATTTCTATTTCTTTCTGTTTCTATTATTTTCATTCCTTTCCATTGCATCTTGTGATCATCATCATCTTCTTTCTAGAATTTTTCATCCTAACACAGTGTTGCCCATTGTGATATTCTAGGGGAACAGAAGTTTAGTTATTAGGAGAGGATTACTAGAGCGATAGCAAGAATGGGAAGTCTCAAAAAGCAGCCATGGCTGACTCAGAAGGATGTATTAGGCTTGAGGGTTACACATTTGGAAGACTTTCTGAATATCCCATCTGACAAATATATTAATCATCTTTTAAAACCTGGTTTTATGAAAATGAATATATGACAACACAGTCTTTCTGAATTTCTCTCCAAAATTTGTTTGTAAAAAACATTTATAAGAGTATGCCGTTGCAAAAGTTAAACAAAGAAAAGTGCATCTGGTTGAATCATAGTATAAATACAACCACTTTTGAAAAGTTTCTGATTGTGCATGGATACAGTATGATCTGTAGATTTGGTAGTTGGTGAAATTTAACACAAGGACCACCGAGTAGTGGCTTGGATTCAAAGGTGTCTTTTATGAAGCAGAAAGTCACTTCTGTTTATGGAATTTTTCCATTATTCTTCAGAAACAAGAAAGGTCATCCAGGGACATTCGTCGATTTATGATTTTTTGTTCTGGGTGTAACTATTTTAATATCTCTTGTACATGTGCAGAGCAAGCCCATTTTACAAAGCATCCAAGCTGTATCTGAATTAATTGAGAGCCCTCTACTAGAATGGAGAGATTCCCAGCAGCAAATGCTTGCAGTTAACTACTTTCAGAAGCCCTATTTACATTTCAAAGCTCACACAATATTTTTTTCTTTTGCACTGGCCTGTATAGAGCAATATTTCAGTCACTATGCACCATTGAATGATCCCATGTAATAGCGTGGAGGTCTTCCCTATTTTAAAAAGCATCCCATATGTAGTAAGATTATGATACCTCAAGACATCATGAGAGAAGACCAAAGTCTCACATGATCCTATGTAAGTGGTCTTTTTAAAAAATTGAATTGGGGGATAGTGCTCTGTGGATGCCATCTAGTGGCATCACAGAGGCCTGGTTTCACATTGCCAGCTCCTGTTTGAAGCTGAGATTGAAAAGCTGCAAGGGAGAGGTTTCAATACAGATAATCCTCAGCTTACGACCACAATTGAACCCAACAATTATGTTGCTAAGTGAGGTATTTGTTAATTGAATTGTGCCCCGTTTGATGACCTTTCTTGCCACAGTTGTTACGTGCTGTTAAGTTAGTAACATGGTGGTTAAGTGAATCTGGCTTCCCCATTGACTTTGCTTGTCAGAAGGTTGGAAAAGAGGATCACATGACTCTGGGACACTGTGGTTGTCATAAAGATGAGTCAGTTGCCAATCATCTGAATTTTGATCACATAACCACAGGGATGCTATAGTGATCATAAGTGAGAAAAATGATCAAAGATCACTTTTTTCAGTGTCCTTGTAACTTTGAATATCGCTAAGTAAACTATTTAAGTCCAGGTCTACCTGGATTTTTTTTTTCTGTTCCAATTATTTTGGACCATGTTTTTCCATATGGAAATATACACCCTTCCCCCATGGGCACAACATAAATAAAAAATATTTTGTCCACAACGATGCAGCTTTAGTCTTTAATGCTTGCTTTGTCACATGTAACCCTAAGCTTGGGAGGACAACATAAAGGGGTAAAAGCAATTCACTTGCATATCTTTGGATCCAACCCATGCTCAGGATAATCAGAATTATTTCACAGAAAGTAAGAATAGTGAGAATGGTCACAGCACTCATTAACTTTGAAATCAAACTCAATGGCTAAACAAATTTCATTTCTAAATTGTTAATTGATTCTTTTTCATGAACTGAGAACTTAAAATGCAGTGAATTATATTTGTAATTCAAAGGGTCTTCTCCCCTTCCTCCCCACCCCTTTAAATAGCATTCATGTAATGGCAAAGTTCTTGATTATAAGTAAAACTGAAGCTGAATGTGTAATTTGAACTTCAAAAAAGGTTATTTCAATAGAACTAGATGTGGGATGCCCTAGATATAATTTCAACAAAGCATTTGAAAAGTATATAATTACCCAGATAGTTAAGCCTGGACTTGTTGACATAACAATTAAATGGATTCAAAAGCCCTCATTGATGACTCTTTTTCAAACAGGAGGTGAGATGCAGAAGGTTCACTCTCACAATTTGTGCTAATCAAATATTTTTATTAAGGAATGGTTGATGAGCCAAAGGGGAAGATTGTCAAGTCTGCAGATGACATAAAGTTAGGTGGGGATAGCTAGAAGATAGAAATGACATTCAAAAACATCTTCATAGGTTAGAGCAATAGGTAAAAATTAACACAATTAAATTTTACAGAGACAAATGCAATGTCACACATTTAGGAAACTGAAACAAAATGCACCTGTATAAAATGAGGAGTATCTAGCTTGGTAAAAACAGTATGAAAAAGAATTTGACTACATGGTTGATTACAAAGGAACATTAGTTAATAGTATATTGAGACTGCAAAAAAGGTATATGTTTATTATTTACGACATTTATTTGTTGCTCATCTCATATCCAACAACTCTGGACAACTTACAGCATAGTTACCAATTCCAATTTATTATTTATTGGCCGTTGAATAATGTATCTAGTAAGATTATTGTATTTTGTTTTGTTTTTTCTCAGCTCCCGGTGCTGCTCTTACCTATAGACTCTAAGCAGTTTACAAACATCTCAATGTATTCATAAATTAATTTATTAATATTAGTAATTATTAAAATTAAACAGCAATATTCCAATGGCAGTAGTCATTCTTTTTTTCCTCTGGACAATTTAAAAAGGATACATACAAGCTGTAAAAGTTCAGAGAAGGGCAACAGAGTTGGAGGTTTTTAAGAAGAGGTTGGACAACCATTTGTATGAAATGTTACAGGGTTTCCTGTTTCAGCAGGAGTGTGGACTAGAAGACCTCCAAGGTATTTTCCAGCTCTGTTATTCTGATAATCTGGGAACTAGAAAGCAATTTCTGTAAAGAGAGATTGAAACATATGGGCAAGTTTTACCTTAAGAAGTAAATTCTCTCTACAAATACTTGCGAAAGAAAAAGGTCAGCACCATTCTCTGTTCTTCTGGAGCTCAGGAGTCAAAAAATGGGATATAAGTTATGGGGAGGCAGACTCTAACTATATGTTAGGAAGTTTCCAATAGTTTGAGTATTTGATGATGGAATCAGTTACTCAATGAAATAGCGAGATTCCCTTCATTGGATGCATCCAGGCAGAGGCTAGACAGGTCTTTGGTTTGGATGCTTTTATCTGGATTCCTACACCAAGCAAGAGGCTGAAGTGAATGACTTAAACCAGGGGTCTTCAAACTTGGCCCTTTTATGACTTGTGGACTTCAACTCCCAGAATTCCTCAGCCAGGCACACTGGCTGAGGAATTCTGGGATTGAAGCCCACAAGTCATAAAAGGGCCAAATTTGAAGACCCCTGACTTAAACTAAAGAACATTTGAAGAACCAAACAAAGAGGAAAAAAAGCAATTGCTGATATTCTGATGCAAAAAAATAGACAGGATAAGCCACAAAGGACAAGAAATGATGTCAAGACACTATTGCACAACCTATTATTGCACAACTATGTTAGTAATTTATATCTGAGAAGGAGTAATCTGGTATTCTGGAAGAAATGAGCTTGTGAAGCCCTAAGCCTAAAATAATTTTATGCTATATAGTATTAAATGAGAACCGTGGAAAGGGTGAAGAAAGTAGCAATGAACATTAGGACTCTGATATCAAAATGGGTGTCATCTTGGAGTTCTAAGTAAGAACTGTGGAAATGCTCTCTTTAGGACTGAATGAGGGTTCCTGTACGCATTTGGTTTTGTCCATTTTATTAGATTTAAATTGTAGACTCTCCTAGGGAAGTTCATGAATTGGACTGTAGGACATTAATTGTTTGATTCAAATAGTGATTTAGAAGAAAAATATTACATTGAGAATTGATCTTTGTTGTTGTTAATTGCGAAGTCGTGTCCGACCCGTCGCGACCCCATGGACAATGTTCCTCCAGGTCTTCCTGTCCTCTACCATCTTCTGGAGTCCATTTAAATTCACACCTACTGCTTCAGTGACTTCATCCAGCCATCTCATTCTCTGTCGTCCCCTTCTTCTATTGCCCTCAATCTTTCCCACATTAGGCTCTTCTCCAGTGAATCCTTCCTTCTCATTAGGTGGCCAAAGTACTTGAGTTTCAACTTCAGGATCTGGCCTTCTAAAGAGCAGTCGGGGTTGATCTCTTCTAGGACTGACCGGTTTGAACGCCTTGCAGTCCAAGGGACTCGCAGGAGTCTTCTCCAGCACCATAGTTCAAAGGCCTCAATTCTTTTGCGCTCAGCCTTTCTTATGGTCCAACTTTCACAGCCATACATTGCAACTGGGAAAACCATGGCCTGGACTATACGCACTTTTGTTGGCAGGGTGATGTCTCTGCTTTTTAGAATGCTGTCTAGATTTGCCATAGCTTTCCTCCCCAGGAGCAAGCGTCT